TCTCATTTGGGTTAAAAATACTTTCTACTTGGTGTCCCTGCATCTGTCTTTGCCTTGTTATAATACATTTCTCACATGATATTCAGATTTTTAAAAATTGGTATATTAAAATATGCTATTTCTCTGTAGAATGACCCTTTGCATTTAGAAAAACAATTCAAACTCCTTCCCATGACCTACAAGGCTATAATGATAAACCTCATGCCCAACTTTCTATTATATGGTGCTAGCCATAATGACTTTCTTTCTACTTTTGCACAGTCAAAGCTTAATCCTATCTTTTGTAGGAAGAATAACGGCCTCCAAAGATGCCCATGTTCTAATCCCCAGAACCTGTGAATTGGTTGCCTTACAGGTCAAAAAGGACTTGGCTGATGTGATTCAGGACTTTGAGGTGGGGGAAGATAACCTGGATTATCCAGATGGGCTCAATGTAGTTGCATGAGTCCTTAACAGCAGAGAACCGTTCCAGGATGTGGTCAGAGAAAGAGATGTGACAACAAAGGAGTGTCAGAGAGATGTTATGTTGCTAGCTTTGAAGATAGAGGAAGAGGCCATGAAACAAGGAATGTGGGTGACTTATGTTAATAGGAGCTCAAAAAACATGGAAATGAATTTTCCCTTAGAACCTCTAAAAAGAATGCAGCCTGTCTGACACTTTGATTTTAGCCCAGTAAGGCCCATGTCAGAGTTCTGACCTGCAGAAATATAAGACGATACATTAGTGTTGTTTTAAGCCACAGCAGTAGTAATTTTTATGGCAGCAATAGAAAACTAAAATGCAATGCCAGGCCATTTACATTTGCTGTTTCCTTTGCTTGGAATGCCTTTTTCCAGTTCTCCAGTGATAAATTATTTTCAAATTTTGGTCTCAGCTTCACCTTTATCTCCTTAAATGGGGTTTTCCCTGATAGCTCTATTGAAATATTCCTCTTGTATTAACTCCTGAGCAACTCTAAAACAACAGGCTGTTTATTTCCTTCATGGAATATCATTATTTGAAATTATCTTGTTTGCATATTTACTTATTTATTGCTGTTTGTCCACTCAAGGTGGTAAGCTCCATGGAATCAGGGACCTTGTCTGTATTGTGTACAGCAATATCCTAATGCCTTGAATAGAACTTGCCAAATAATAGACACTCAATAGATATTCGTTAAGTGAGGGAATGCATTAGACCAGGGAGATGGTTATTTCAGGCAAAGGTCAGAGCCTGAGTAAAATTCTGAGATATGAAATTGCTTTAAGTGCTTGGGAAAATCTAGGTTTTCTGTGAGTGAAACCAAAGAGGAAAGCAAAAGAAGATGGGAACCAAGAAGTAGATATTTATTATTATTATTATTTTAACACATCATGTTATATTTCTTAAGTGCTTGGGAATCAGTTTTTAAAGAAAGCAGAGTAACTGAGTGAAGGAATGCACAACAAAATCAACAGGGCTTGGTGACTAATGTGATGCAGGTTGAGAGAGGATGAAGAGACTCCTCCCACGGTTCTGATCTTGGGCCTAGGATGATGGTGGTAGTGTTAATGGGTATGAAGAACAATCGGAGATAATGATTTCATTTTGGATTCTGAGTTTTATGGACCCATCCAGCGGGAGATGTTTAACGTAGGCACTTAGAAATACAGTCTGCAGCTCAGGAGGAAAGCCTTGACTGGGAGTCATTCGCATGTTATTGGAGATAAATAAAGTCTAGGGATCTAACAGTCAGTACAGCCCAGGTCAGTGGGCAAGGGGGGGATAAAAGCTGATGAAACAACGCCGGAGAGCACAGGCTTTCTCAGAGTAACCTGCAAAAGAGGTTTGACCAGCAAAGCAGGGGGCATATGGGACCAGGGACACCATGGGAGGAAAGAGTTTCAGTAGGAAGGGAGTAGTCAGAATATCGACTGCTGTAGGGAGGAAAGAAGAAATCTTTGGGTTTATTAACAAAGGGCTCTGGCAGTGCAATACGTAGTAGAGAGCTGGTAATGAGACCCTGATGTACAGGGTGAAGGGCGATGGGGAGGAGGAGTGGAAGGAAGGAAAGAGACTGTAGAAGAATCTCTCCATCTCTCCTTCCTTTTTGTTTGTTTTTTTTAGAGACAGGCTATAGGTGAGGAGCAGGTTTACAGGCTGTAGGGAAGGCCCTAGTAGAGAAATAGAGGTGGAAGGTAGAGGAGAGAGAGGGGGACACGGACAGAGCAATGTCCTGGAGGAGAAGGGAAGGGGCGGGAGAAGGAGTGCGGAGGGAGGGATCAGCCCTGAAAGGGCGCTGAGACACCTTTTCTGCTGAATCTGGAAGTGTGAGTGTCAGGTAGGTCTAAGTCAAGCCAAGAGGCAGTGAGCACATTCCCTTTGGTGTCAGACATTGCTGAAACAGTATCCTAAATTTACCACCTAGCTGAGCAATCTTGAGCAAGTAAATCTATCTGAACCATAATTCCTTATATTATATATGTTTTTTTTCCATCTTATCTTTGTCAGGCAATATTATATATGTTTTGGGAAAAATGATAAATACTTTTCAGTGTTGCTGTGAGAATTGGTAAAAATTTGCCCGCTAAGCACATATTATTACAGTATATATACTGTTAGGATGGACTTCACTGGAATTGGGACAGATTTCTGAGCCCTCCGCTCCAGCACTGAGGTCTAGAATCAGTTCTTCAAGGACTAAGAAAGGATACTTTCCTCTCTCCTGAATTCAATCACATCTATTAAAAAGACATATCTGGTCAAAATCTGTGTATGTTTCAGTATTTTCCAAATTGTAACGTGATACCCTAAAGCCACACATAGAAAAAAAGTACAAGTCGCAAAATATTTTGCTATTTATGACTTGTTGATAATAAGATGTCAAAACTTCACAAGGACAATGGAGAATGCTTATTTTCTCAGCTCTCCTGACAATATTTGCTATGTCTCTGTCGTACCATGAGCTTTTGGTATGACAGGAAGAGGAGGCTGAAGCTGGTGGGAACTGTGAGAGGTTGCATTATGTTTTTAATCTTTCTTATACAAGTCCTATTTACAGTTAAATTTAATATAACTGTATTAGTAAACTGATAATAATTGTTTTAATGACAGATACTAAAATATTGATCTGAGCAGGAACTGAATATTATGTACATTGACTCTGCTACAAGTCCTGTGATTTTGTCTAATCATCTTTTTATTTCCAGCATGGAAAATAATTTCTGAGAGTTGGAGATTCAATAGCCATAAATGTCTGTTGTCCTGCATTTCAGTAAAGATTCTACACAAGGTGCTTGAAAATTGTGCCAACCCTTGGGATTAGTGTCTTCAGTGGCCTCATAGTAGACTAGAACTGGCAAGCTCAGAGAATAGTTAATTTTTCCCCCTACATTTATTTATTTTTCTGTTATTCTCTTTGATTATTTAGCAAGGTGATTTCCAAGTCCTGGCCTTGGAAGAATTAGCAAAGGATGGTTTTTGGTCCTCACTCAGCCCATTCACTAAGTGGGAGTAAGGCACTCCTGGCAACAGAAGTCATTGAAATGATATTTGTCAAAGTGAAAAGTTAAACTGAGGGGTACAGGGTTAGAAAGTTGGAAACTCCTTAAACAGTTGACCTCTGGAATACTTCTCTACAAATTGTTGCTCCAAAGCTAAAATTCAAAGGTTCTTGGATTTTTTTTTTCTATTAAGAAAAGTGACAATAATGACTTACTGATCAAATCTCATTTTATGATCTCTTCTTTCTCTGAATTTCTACCGAGTCTTAGCATCCCAAACCTATTTATATGCTCTGGTTTTGTTACATGTAAATTTATTTTCTCAGCATCTACATATGTTCCTTGAAGGCTGTGGGTGTGCCTCTTATTTCTTTTGTGTCATCCTTTTTGTCCAGTGCTTAGCACAGTGCAGGGCTCCTGATCATTGCTGAGTAATTGTAAACAGTTGATTCACTTGTATTGTATAGAACATCCATTCTATTTCCAGGGGGACTCAAGGTGGCAAATAGATTAGATTATACAGAATGCTCCGAGGTCATTAATAGCTTGGCAAGCATGAGTGTAGCACGGAAGTTCAAGGATATTGCTCTTAGAATGCATGTCCATCCGAGATGACTATATTCCTTGAAAAGCTGGTTTAGGGTTAATAACACCATCTACTTTTATGTAGCTCTTTGCAATTTGGAACTTAATAATATATTACTCATTTTAGTGTCACTGAATCCTGTACACTGGTCATGGTAAAGCCCTTTTATCAAATGAGAAAATTGGAGTGCACAAAGATAAGGACTATGTGCATGTTTACGAAATTGGTGAGTGGCAGAGCTGGTATTTGAACTGAACCTTTCTGCATCCAAATGTAGTATACTTCCCATTTCTCTACACTAGCTGAGTAGAGTAGTCAATACTTCTACATAACAAAATTCTTGGGGACAAGAAGAACCCGCAGATGTGGCCCCTTAAGAGATGTGGAGAGATTAGGATAGGACCTATCTTCTGGATTCAAAATATGATGTATCACAAATTCATTTGTCCAAAATAGTTTTCTCACCTGGACTTTACCTGGGCAACATTCTAATAGTTCCCTTCCAGAGTATTGGGGGCTGGAGAGGGAAGAAAACCAGAATCCGAGACAGGACAAGAATACTTCCTATTTAGGCAAAAGAAAGGGTTAAAATGTGATCCTTTCAAGGTTTAAGGTGGAGAAGAGAGTCACAAATTATCTAAATGCCAAAAACTAGGCTAAAAGGCTGCATTTCCTCCCTAATGTCTTTTTCAGCTTATAGGGGAAAAGTTAAGGAGTGTGTCTGGGGGAAGGGTTAGGGAGGGGAGAATACGACTCTTTCGTTCTAACAGGCTTTCTTAAAAAAAATAAAAAGAAAGAGAAATAAAAGTTTGTTTCTGTTATTAAGCCCCATCCATGCTTTAAACATAAATGAAGTAGGGATAGCTCAGGCACAGAGACGCGTGTTCTGATTTGGTTGTTTACCATCAATCAGACCGTTGCTTGGCAGACACTGGATGGTTATGAGCCTGAACAAGCTGAAAAGGGGCAGGAAAAGAAGTGGAGGCAGCATTCTTCCTATTTAAAGCTGCATCGCTTGAAAAAAGTTTTCACAGACTGTGCTGGAGCTGGTGCTGAAAAAGGGGGTTTGCAGAGGCAGCCCCGGGGCTGGTGCTGAAAGAAGAGCCCACAGCTGACTTCATGGTGCTACAATAACCTTAGAATCTACTTTTATTCCCAGGAGGACCCACATGTCTAATATTTAGACGTGATGGCAAACTGGGTAGAAGCAAGACCTCTCCTCATTCTTACTGTTTTATTAGGGCAATTTGTCTCAATAAAAGCCCAGGAAGAAGGCGAGGATGGTGAGTTTGCCGTTTGCTTTGCTTGTGGTGTTTATTGCACGGTTTGGGAAATAGGTGGAATGTTAAGCCCCAGGAAGAGCTCGAAGAGGAGGTTCTGGTTTGAAGTTTGAGAAGGGGGCTGACAGATTTGCACCTGGGAAACGGCTTGGAAGACAATCGGGATGTTTGTAAATCCGGAGCTTCTATGTTGCAAAGAGTACACTACTAATATTTCTGGGAAAGCCTAAGATAAGTCCTTTTTGCCTGAGTGTGAGAGTGGGAAGTTTAAAAGAAAAGAAGAGTGCTTAAAACGGAGCACTAAAGGCATTTTAGTCAGAGGAATTCTGTAGGCTGGAGTTTTCGGAGCAAGGAAAAGTCGCAGCAGAAGCTGGGTAGGGTGGAGTCTTTTTTGTACTGAACTTCAGCTGCTTCATAAAATTCTTTGTTTAGAAAAACCTCTGCAGCAACTCTGATAGCTCTGACTTTTCTTTGTCTTTGGCTCCTCATTCTTTTCTCTTTACAGACTTATGCTTCTTCACCATTTTCATTTGTGATCTTAAAGTCACTTTTGCTTACTGAGAAGCAGTCTCGTTTATTTCTCCATGACAGAGGCTGATAGAAGCCAGATTTCTTAAACAGTGGTATTTTCCCACCCTACTGACTTGGTTAAGAGGACAGTGGTGGTTCCCAGTTGGATGGCGGAAGGCAGGAAATCAGCATGCCTTATATATAATTTATTTGGTACGGAGTAATTGTATGGGCATTACCCCTTAACACAAGTTTTTTGGTTTGTTTTGTTTTGTTTTTTGTTTTTTTAAAGACAAATCTTGCCTGATTACTAATTTTTTTTTCTATGCGATTTGCGTATATTAGAGTAGGGTTATATGGTATGGCTAAGCAAAAAACGCATGGCTATTACAGAATATAAGAAAATATTTAAACTGATTCCACTGATTATTAAATCCTTACTCTTGAGGGTTACAATCTCAAATACAGACATGCTCTTTTATAATGGGCCATTATGGATTTTCATAACTATTTAACATCAAACTCAAGCTTTTAAAACGTTGCACATTCATTAACCTTTTCTGTTACTTTCACATACATACACACACACATACACATATATACATATGTGTATATATACATATATTTACTACAGATTTCTGCTTCTGTGCATTTTTACTCTAAAGATGTTCATAAAATTATTCTAGAGATCACCAGTTCTAAAAACTTTTAAAGGGTGAAAATATCTGGACATGAATATCCAACAATCTATCAGGAGTCCCATAGAGGGGGCACTTTCTAAATCTTGGAACTTTTCATGTTTTAAAAAATGAGGCAATTTATATAAGGTAAAAACTTTTGAGTTTCTTTGTCACAGTGAAAAGCATGTATTGTTTGGAAGGGTGCGAAAGATAATTGAATATGAAGTAGAAGTTAGAAAAGGGGAGAAAAATACAGAAAAATTACAATAGATATAGAAAATCTGATTATAAAAGGAACAGTTTACTCCCCTCCCCCACCAAACAACCAACTTCAATTGAGAATTTTAATATAGCTTTCTTTGTTAATTTATATTAAAATTAATAGCTTACTCTTATAATGTACTGAAATAATTGACTATGTGAATAAATGAAAGGATTCTTTTATAAGGTACATGAAATAGGCCATATATTAAAAGACTTTCCCAAATAGTTTTAATTACTCTGTAGGTGTTTTTAAAAAATGACTGGAGTTTAATCTTCCTTAATACTAATTTACGTAAATGTGAGGAATGCAATGCTTGGTGTAAAAAAAAAGTCCCCAACTCCAAACCAACTCCAGTCCCTCCAGGATAACCAAACAGCACAGAAACTGGAATTCCAAACATCAGATTTTACAGAGAATGTGTGATTGCTTGCACATGTATTGTAAAAAATAAATTCCTCTATTTTATTACTCAACCTAAGAGAATATATGTGATAAATATTCAAGAGCAAAAGAAAGTAGTTATGGTCCTAATTAAAGATAACACAGAAAAGAATTAAAGGATCCAATATATTTAGAGCTACTTAACTCGTACTATATTTACTTGCCATGCATATTTTGATTTAAGTTGATTTTGTATGGATACTTGGCAATACTTTATTTCCCATGTTCAGGCATGTCACAAGCTTAATGAAAGTGTCAGAATTTAGAAACTCCATGTGATTTTGAGTTTGGGAAAAAGTAAGTTTGGGTAAATGCTTTAAATTAAATAAATATCTAAGGCACACAGGCAAAGCAAGTACATTTTTCAAAATTTAGTTATAACTAAGTCCCATAATGTGGTATTTACTTTATGTACAAATATTTTCCTTTGGAAATGTAGAGACCTGCTATTGCATATAAGTGCATATTTACAAGCTTTTATTTTTTCTTTCTGTTTATGACTTCGAGGTATATTTTCCTTCTATTTGACTTTGTTTATTTACCAGAAATGTAAAATATAAGCACAGTGGGCCTGCCTGATAGAAATAGGTAAAAATGATAAGATAAATGTAAATAAATGAAGTTTTAGGCATTTTAGGCCAAAATCAATACTACTTCTCACTAAATTTTACGAACGTATCTGATTTTTTTCATTGATAAGAAACTGAAAGGAGAAAGTTTGGGAGTTGGGCTAACTTTAGTTGAAAGTATAAAATGACAATAATCAGGGAGTTAAGATGACAAAACCAGCTTTTCAAGAATTTTGTATGTGTTGGGGGGGGACAATGTGTGTGTGTGTATCTTCGAAATATTCCACATTTGTTTTTTGTAAGAGAAAATACTAGAGAATTTACAGTTTATTTTATATTCCTAAATTAAACTCTAACATCTAGTGAACTATATATATTCTTATTATCAGAAGTAGACATATTTAATTTTACAAAATAATATTTGGTATTAATCATTGTATTCAACACCAGATGAGCAAAGGAGAGAAGGCAAGGGGCCGAAATGTACCATTTTATTTCCAGAAACTGTAAACTTCAGTGTTTTCAGAGGCCAGGCAGGTAACATAAACAAGTGAAGCAAGCGAGTGTTTCTACATCAACAGGGGATGAGGAGGCCTGTGGGGAACTGAAGATGCATGCCTGCTTTAGGGTATTCAAAATTAATGTTTTCAGAGGTATTGCATAAGCCAATTAAAATATATCTGCGTGCCAAATGTGGCTTATGGACCGTAAGTTTGCAGCCCTCCTGTTGTAACTTTACACTGATATCCTGGACCTAAGCCAACTTCTGATTGCTAAGAGATGAGGCTCTCACAGTTCTTTCTATATCATGGTCTCTTGCATTTTTATTGTGTTATGTCTGCCATTTATCTCATTGTTAAAATACAAATACGAAGAAGCAGATGCTTAATACTCAACAGTCCTTGAATGGAATCATTTTAAAGGAGGTACACAATATAAATACATAGCTTAAGATACTTGTTCACTCATAGTTTTAAACTCATTGCTATTGAAATAGATACTTTGGATCATGTAGGGTATGCAGACTTTTCTTTTTAGTGGGTGTTTGTGTTTAGGTCCACGAGGATATAGCAGAATGTAGTAGTTCAAACAAATAAAAAAATCCTTTTTTTTTCCTAGTGTAAAGAAAGGTTTTAAGTAGGCAGTGAAAGCCTAGCATACTGGCTCCACAATGTCTTCAGAGATTCAGGCTTTTTCTAGCTCTCTACTTCCTTATCCCTAGGGTATGGTCTTTGATTTTATGGCCCTAAATAGCTGCTGGAGCTCCAGCCATTACATGTGCTTTCTAGGCATGTGGATAGAGAATGGGAAACAAAGGCTGTGAGCTTCCCCTTTCCCCATGAAGACTTTTAAGTCTTCATAACATTTACACTTACTTCTGGTTGGCCAGAATTTAGTCATATGGTCATACAAAGCTGCAAGGGCAGCCAGGAAATGGAAATTTTAGTTGGGTGGCACTGGCAATATACTCTACTAAATAGAGTTCTATGAAGGATATAAAGAAGAATGACTATTAGGAGGCAACTGCAGTCTCTACCACAGAGAGTATACATGTCAGCTACTTTTAGTAGACTAGATCTTATGGTTTCAGTGGACAGAATATAGTTGTGTGAGCAGATCTACACTGGTTATTGTTCATTTCTGAGTAGACTACAAAGCCAAGAACACTGGATGGCACTTAAATATTAGGCTGCATTTTATTTACTTCTTAATCTAATTCTCTTCAGATAAATTTAGATGTTATCTGTAACTTTTATCCAAACTAAATCGATGGTTAGTTTGAAAAGTAGATCTCTCTCTACTTATGTATTAACAGATTGGTAGATTGATAGATTTAGTGAATTCTTTCCATTGGCTAGCACACTGTATACTTTGACCATGACTCCATAGGGTAGTTGGTAAGCAACCCATGGATCAGTGTTGAGATGACTGCATAAAGAATCACCCGGGATCTTGTTACTAATAAAGATTCTATATCCCTCTCCTTTCCAAATACACTTGAGTTAGTAGGTTTGGATGAGGTCTGGGAATCTATGGATTTTCAAAGCTCTTCCGGTGACTCTAATTCTCTAATTCTACTCTAATTCTCTAATTCTAATGTATTAAATCTTTGACTTGCACTCTTTTGATCTTGATGTGGACCAGTTGGTTTTTATGTTCCAAGGCTACACACTGAGACTTTTGGTAATAACTTGCTATTCTGGTAATTCATTTTACTTATAAGGCTGCCTAGTTAAAGTTTATTGATAAACCATGACAAATTCACCATCATTTCCAGAAAAATAACTCAAGGCCCTGATCCCCCTCATGGTGGATTAGGTGAATCATTCTACTATGCAAAGGACAGATGTTATTCAAATGTATTTCCAAGTGAATATATGTTTTTCATTTTCGATCTCTCCTCTCTTTTATTTTTGTTCTTCATACTTTTAGAACTGTCACCACAGGCCTGAAATTCAATGTGTTCATCATTCTAGACATGCACCTAATGCAAGATGTGAGGCAAAGCAGAAAGAGGAAGCTTTGTTTTGAGAAGCT